AGCCATGCGGGCAAGGAGCGCGTCGGAGATTGCGCCCAGGTCGAGGCCGTCGCTCTCTTCCGCCACCGCGGCGTCGCCGGGCTCGGCACCGTCGCCGGGTTCGGCACCGTCGCCGGAATCGGAACAGGCGGAGAGGATCGCAACCAGGCCGAGCGCAAGACAGGTCGGTAGCGTGACGGGATTTCGCATGGAACGATCCGGTCGTGGGGGATGTCGGGCCGAGCCCCGAAACTAGGTCACCGTCGTCGACTCCGTCCAATCCTCTCCCCTGGCAGCCCGTGGCAGGACCCCCGCTGCCTGCCGGCGCTCATGGTGTGCAGTCCCGGCGCAGGTTGTATGTTGGTTCAGCGAAGCCTGGAACAGGAGTACCGCGATGGCGGCAACGGAGCACAGACGCGCGGGCGGATGGCGCACCCCTGGCGGGTTGCTCGTCGCGGGTGTGGCCGGCGTCCTGGTGGCCGGCGTCCTGGTCGCCGGCTTCCTGGTCGCCGGCTTCTTCTGCCCCGCGTCAGCGCAGCGGATCGCCGGCAGCGTGATCGACCCCGTTTCCGGCATGCCCGTCGGCGACGCCCTGGTGATCGTCGTGAACGAGGCGAGCGATCCAATCGCGAGCCTGTTTACAGAGGCCGACGGCACCTTCTCGGTCGGCGTACCCGGCAAGGGCGCCTACATGCTGGGGGTGACACGCCAAGGGTACCAGAGGGCGATCACGCCTCAGCTCAACCTCGTCGCGGACACCGTCACCGTGGAGATCTTCCTCCCACCCGCCCCGATCGCGATGGACTCGATCACGGTCACGTCGGTGCGGAACACCCCCGACGCCGGGCGCCTGCGCGGTCTCATCGAGGTGGAACGGCGACGTGGGACATTGGCTGGGCGGCTGACCCGCGCGGAGATCCAGGCCAGGGGTCCGCGCAGCGACCTCATCGCGCTTCTCACGACCATGAACATCCCGGGACTTCGCGCCCGCCGCATGGCCCTGTCGACCGGCGCCCCGGAGACCGCCATCTGCGTCGAGACCGGCCGCAACCGCTCGGTCATGCAGAAGACCGGAAGCAGACTCGCTTCACGCACAAACCAGCTCGGCACCACCGATGAGGACGACATCGCGGCGCGCGCAGGCGCCTGCGCCATGGTGGCCGTCTTCCTCGATGATGTCCACATACCCGATCCCGGCGAGGTACTCTCCAGCATCACGCCGGCTGACCTCGAAGGGGTGGAGATACTTCCTCCGCTGGAGGCCCTGGCGCGCTACGGCTTCCGTGCCGCCAACGGGGCACTCCTGTTATGGACCAGGGGGAGGTAGGGGTAGCCGCCCGCGGCGAAAGCCCCGCTGCCCTCGCATTCACCGGCGCTGACGCGGGATTTCACCCCGGGCGGCTACGTCTCCGTCCGGTGGATGATGATGATGAAGCCGTCCCCGTCGTCGTCTTCGCCGACCAGAAAAAGAAGAGGGCGGGGGGGTGGTGTGAGGTCTGTGCTGTTTAGAGGCGCTTCAGTTCCTTTGATCTGGTAAAAATGCGGTGTTTAGTGGGTTGGGCCGGGCATGCTGTGGGGGGTTGCAGGTCGTTTTCTTTGTATTTGGGTTCTTTGCTATTATTGTGTTAGGTAGGGGCCCTAGTGTCGGCGAGTGTATGGTCGGCTCGCTTGGAAGTGTCCGACCCAATCTGTATGCTCCTTTCTGCTGTCCCGGTGGTCATCCTTTTCGTTTCTAGTCGTAGCGCGGGCCTGTGTCATTGGGTGCGGTGTGTTTTCCGGTTTGCGCGTCTACCCGTGTTCTTATTGTGGTTAGCCATGGGTGGAGCTTGGTGTGGGGATGGGGTGGGTCGGTGCCGGGCGAACCGGGGCGACGCGGCACAGAGGCGCTTGACGTTGTTCGCGGGATCGGGTGTTCTCTTGGCGCCTGGGGGGTTTTCCGTTAGCGACGAAGACTGGGCCGGGGGTGGGTCTTCATCGTCTAAAGGGCCGGGCGGTGTCCCGGTGGGTGTCTGGTAGGACGCGAGGGGCCCAAGGAGGCGTCAGAGGGGTGATGGTATGGAGTATTGACTTGTTTGTAGGAGTGTAGGCGGAGGTTCAGGAAATAGGACCTGAGTACTGGTAGCTCGAGGGGTGTGCTCGTGGTTGGCCGCTGTCATTGGGGCAACCTTAGTCCCGGCGGTTTGTGAACGGGTGTGTTGTGGGTAACTGGGTGTGCTGCTTGCAAGATGGTTTTGACGGGCCATCCTTGAGGGAAGGGTGTTAAGGCAAATAGACCAAGTACTAGGAGGGGCCGATTCTCTGATGATGAGTGGGGGGCGACGTAGGTGTGGGTTAGCATGTGTCACTTCTGATGCATGTCGAGCGAGGTTTCAGGGGGCGGAGTGCAGGGTAGGGGCGGGTGTTATTGGTAGGGCCCTGGTTTTGTGCCGGCGGCGGAGTGGAAGGCGGGGGGGGGGATGGGGGGGCGCGGAGGGTGGGCGTGGGAGGGGTTCGAAGTGGATTGATTCGCGGAGAGGAAGTTAAAGGAAGCTGGTGAGGGATTGTCGGATTGGGTTGCGAATATTAGATTTTATATAGGCAATAAGGGCGATGGCTTTTCTGGGTGTGTCGAAAAGAAAGGACGTCCGAGAAGCACCGAAAACGACGAAAGAAGGGACGGCTTCATCATCATCATCAAGGAGCGGAGAGTAGCAGCCGGGGTGAAATCCAGCGTTCAGCGCCGGTGAATGCAGCGGGGCTGTTCCAACGCGGCGTCTACCCCTACCTTTCCCCCTTTTCCCCCCCCCCCCTTCTTTTCCACCCTTTCTTGACCTTCCTCCCTGCTATTTCCTTTCCCCCCATCTTTAGTTACCTACTTTCCCTTTTCGGTCTCCTCCTCCTACCCCCGCCTTTTTTCACCTCCCTTCGCCCCTCCCCTCCCCCCGCCCCCCAACCGCGAGGAAAGCGCGTGGTTATTTGAACGTATACTCAGAAGTGTCCCTAGTATAATACACTACTATGATATAAGTAGGGGGCAGAACCAAGGAGAAATCATAGAGAATCCAAGTAGAGGTGTCATTTAGGAGAGGGTGTCCTATGTGATTAGCTATATGGGGAAACAGAGACCAAGTCAAGGTCCTTTATAGAGATGGTGTCCGATGTATTAGTATGGGGCTAGTGCAGCATCAGAACGAAATGTTTATAGCGAGTGGTGTTGTCCTATGTATGAGTATGGGCAGACCAAGTGTTCGTTATCAGAATAGTGTGTTGTCCTAGTGTATTAGTATGGTGGCAGAGCCAGTGTCGTGATAGAGAGGTGTCCTAGTATAGTATGGGACAGCACCAAGTGTCTTAGAGATGAGTGTCCCTATGTATTAGTATGGGGCCAGAGCCAAGTGTCCTTTATGAGAGGTGTCCGCTGTCTTAGTATGGGACGAGACAAGTGTGTCCTCTATAGCGATGTGTCCTATGTATTAGTATGGTGCAGAACCAAGGTCCTTTATAGAGAGTGCCCTATGTTAGTATGAGGGCAGAACCACGTGTCCTTTATATGCGATGGTGTCCTTGTATTAGCTATGGGCAAGAAGCCAAGTGTCCTTTATAGAGAGGTGTCCCTAGGTATAGTATGAGGGCGAACCAGTGTACCTTTCTAGAGAGGGTGCCATGGAGGTAGTCACCTATGGTCTTAGTAGGGGCAGAACGCCACACGTGTCCTTATAGAGAGTGTGCCTAGGATCATAGTAGGGGGCAGAAGCAAGAGTCCTTTATTCAGAGAGAGAGAGAAGAAAGAGGGAGTGGAAAAAGGGGAGAGGTAGAGGCAGTGGCCGGGAAGGCAGAGAAGAAGAACACAAGCGGAACTCACCATTCAGACTACTTGCACGCACAGTTGCCTCATTTGTTGCCAGAAATAAGAGAAACGTTTAGACCGACTCCCAAGCCGTTCGGCCACCTCGTTAGCATGTACTATCTAAAACAGACACAGCTCTGAAACGTGACGTCACTTCATCTTTTCAAAGATTCGCTCTGTTTTTGCAACACCAGACAACGTGAATGTCGACATCCTACTCAAGAATCCGTAACTATATATCTCATGATGAAATGCGTACATAATCGCATAACTAACACCATATTGCAAATATATTATGACGTAACATGAGGTAGGTATAGTCCGCATGAAATGACGCAGTGAGTACTATTGTCCCATGGTATCTACTATAATGAGTAGGAAATTGGAAGGTGCCGGAGTTTGCCCCTAGAACTTCAAGTAGGTGTCCTACCTCACCATATCTGGATGTGAATAGCACTTTGTGAAAGTTGTTGTGTCTTGAGGAATAGTGGTATAAGTGATGATGACGCTGTGAGTGTAATACGCAGTGCAGATTTCGTGCACTGCGTGCAATTCATTCAGAAATGTGGTGTTCTACGATCGGGTCGGCACGTCAGTTCATGTCGCAGCTACTGACAATGGCACTGACAATGAGAATGAAATATACAGAGGAATAAAATCACACAATAGCACTACCGCATACCTGGCTGCGTTCCTAGTCGTTCAGTTGCTGGGATATTGTCTTGTCTGATGGTGTGTCTGCCGAAAACATTGATACCAGGGTGCGTATGTAATGCTAATACACGTCTGGTACGAAAAGAGAAAACTTTACAGCCATGTATGCTGCATGCATGCACGCATGTCACTCTTCCATGAATGTCAGTTCTAGTTTTGGTTTTAACCTAGCGACCTAGATCAAACAGCAAAGATTAGCCCCAGTTACGTATTACGTACTCCTGGGTGTAATATGACATCATACCATTGTAAAATGACGTCATCACCTGTTGTAAACAATAGGTAAGACCCTCCACCACACTCTGCAGTGTTGCCCCGGAACACGCAGTCTCGGATTACGACACCACTCGACTCTGTCCCATTCCCATTCCCCGAAATCTCAATCCCCAGTCCACCGGCATGGGTCTCGGACCCATTTCATCAAGACACATGTCTGAATGTTAATCAGGTGATTGGAGGACGAGGATAGGGTGCAGAGTTCAGTAAAAGCTCCGCCTCCAAATTCCGTGGCGAAATTGTTGAAAAAGCTGCAATTTATAACGTCCACGGTAACCGTGGTGACAGAGTCGACGAGGACCGCCAAGCCACCACCTCTACCGGGGAAAACCCTGTCATTTAGTGCCTGAAATGAGGAGATAAATTACATCATCAAGTAGAGTAGGAAATGACGTGTTTTGCTACTGTTTAGAACACAATACAACATGAATGTCAACGTGAGGTGTCCTTGTTTCAGGGATAAATTGAATGCATCAACTGTTCTTGGGGAAAGATGTGTGTCCTACTTTTCTAGCTAATTTCAGGGGTGTCCTTAGAGAGGGGTTCCACTGTACTAGATTCCTATGTACTATATCATTATACTTCAGACGTTGATGAGTCAGCCAGCAGAGCTGAGTTGTTGTAAAAGACGCAGCTTTCAACAATGGCTGTCAGATTTTCTTCCTCATCTGCTGTGATGGAGTAGCCTGGAAAGAGAGTGAGTGATAGGGAGGAGAGAATTCGCTGGTAGAGGAACAGAGAGTGGCTTTCTTACCCAGAGACAAGCCAGCTGCATGACCTCTGAGCTCATTGGTTTTGACCACACCCACCGGTCCATTGTGAAAGAAGTGGCAATTAGCTATGGCAACGGAGCGGCTGTTGTAGACATCGACTGCTCCTTGAGTAAACCAGCTAGACGGGGGATGGAGGGAGGTGGGGTCAATCATGTGAATACAGTTTTCGCAAAAGGCAATGACAACCTTATTTACTGGGGCTTGCCTTTTGCGTTGTATTGTGTTGTACTTGTTTAGTAGACAAGCAAAAACAAACCAAGCAGAGGTCCAGTTAGGACTCCAAGCTTGTGGAGTATATGCTTCTTTACTGGGAGCCCTGTCTGCTGCCTTGGTAAAGCTCAGTATGTTGCTTATAGACTCTCAGTCTGTCGTGGGTTCAAGTCCCACCCACCCAGGGAGGGAAGCTCTTCTTTTCGAGACTGTTGTGCTGTACATGGAATTGTTGGCTTCATACAATCTGGTTCATACCCCACTCAAAGGCTTTGTGATAAACCACAAAAAGCAAAATCTCTTGCAGACTGAGCATGAGGTAGCCAAATGTACATGTTGCTACTAACGATATGTTTTCACCACACCAAAAACCGGCCTACTTTTACCTCATTACCATAGTAACCACAACACAAATCATGTCGCTTGCACATATATTATGATAACATCAACAACTTAGTGTCTGCAAAAATGTCAACAAAAAGTGTTGCACGTTTTCCATCTAATATTATGACCCATGCTCAATTAACTTACTAACTTACAGGAAACACGAAATTGTTACACTTGGGACCATGACAACTACAATAATCCGTGGTTGCCGTAGCGATGTCGTTAGGACTGTCGCTAAGGACATTAAGTGCTAGTAGATGGGTGGAGAGATAATACCCGTGGCAACGCAGCAGGTGGGGGTTCGAATCAACAACACAACACAAGACAAAGGCAAAGGCAAACCTCTCAACGACTGCTCTTGGGCACAGTTCACTCCCACTCAGCATGCATGCATGTAATACCTGAGGCAACATATACTTTCCTCACTTCCCTCATGTAAGTAGTTAGTTTCCAAAACAAGAGGGGAAGGAGGCGGAGAATGAGGGAGGTATTCACTCTCCATTAATGGCCAACCCAGTCTTCCAACGGAATGTTCAGAGCTCATCTTCAGTCGTACACAATACTATTATGGTCTTCTGTGGTTTTGACAATTCCCCTTTTATTGTCCAGCAAAGGAGAATGGTTTCTACTGCACTGGTCACGGAATATCCCTATTGTAGTACATCTACTGACGTAGCCAAACAGAGCAAGGCAGAGCACTCTGTGTTCTAGAGAGGGCTCTACCAACTGAGCTACTGAGGCAGCTCAGCTGGCTGGGCTGAACCACTCATACAGAGCAAGGCAGAGCACTCTGTGTTCTAGAGAGGGCTCTACCAACTGAGCTACTGTGGCAGCTCAGCTGAATCATGTGCCATCATAAGGGATAAATCAAAATACCTGAACGAGCAATTAGTGATTTGGACGTTCGTCACATTAACAATTTCAATTCCTCCGGGACTTCCTGTCAATTCAAGTGTTGCCATCGACAACCAGGCTCCGCCCACAAACGACAGGACGTAGAACGGGGCATCGAACGAGTCACAAGAGGAGTTAAATACGATCTTTGTGTCATAGTTATTCATCTCAGGAGTTGTTCCGGGCAGCTGCATTAGTACACACACACACACAGAGAGAGAGAGGGATGGAACAAAGTCCAAAGTATTGGATGGATGACACAATTAGCTATAATAGTGGAAAATATATTGGTGTATGACATCATAAAATTTTAGCAGCATACATAAGTTCTTCTTATTGAGGTGGTCTAGAATAACTAATATAGCTTACTATGTAGCTAAGTCAGATGCACTGAGCAACGCAGCTTTTACCATCAAACCGTTTTTACTGTATGCACCTGGCCAGTCGTAGTGGCATCGTTGGGAGAGGAAGAGGGAGAGGGGGGAGGGGCAGTAGCAGCAGAACTGGATCCCCATAAAACGAGGTTTTGGGTGATCGTGACGCTCTGTGTCACCGTGTGTGTCCCTGGCAACAGTTGGACAGCTATGCAGTCGTCGCCAGCGAATCCGGACGCCTCGGCCACTGCGCTCAGGACGGCTTGGAGCGAGTTGCAGGTGGAATTCCGGACCGCGGCGTCGCACGGGACGGAGCTTGCGGGGTCCACGTTTATCTGCACGCTGAACTGCAGGAGCCGCCAATGCAGGCGAGGGGGAAGGGAGCGATGTGTCCTAACAGCCAGCACAGGACCAGGAAAACAAATCGAGCATGATGCTCCACCATCGCGCTACAATAGTGGGATAGATGGGTGGGGCATGTGACTACTACGCATGCGCATTAAGATAAACCACACCCATTTTATTCGAACTATAAAAGCCGCAGTGTAATCGCGAAAACATTCAGTTCGGAGAAAAGTTATTAGAGCGAGAAAAGGGGGTTTTATCCACAGTGAGAAAGATGGCGTACACGCCGATCGGAGCACATCCGCACCTCGGGTTCGAATCGTCTCCCGCTTCCCTTCGGCTGGATTCCATGACGACGACCCGTTCCTCCTTGCCTTCCCTTGGTGGCCAGGGTGGCGGACCTCACTCCGGGGGCCAGCTATCCAGTCTGGCTCGCCTGGACCATCAGCAGTCGTGCGCCATCTGCCTGGAGCGCTACGACGAGCCGCGTATCCTCAAGTGCTCGCACTCTTTCTGTCGCCGTTGCCTGGTACAAGTCCTGGAACAGCGCGCCGATGATCCGGAGAACCCGCAGCGTAAGTTTCGGGGCGCCACCGATTACTGGGGGTGGTTTTGTGGTTGCCGGTGTAGCTATATAGCAATAAAGATGAGAGGGGAAGAGGGGAGAGAGAAAAGGAAGCAGATGGAGAGAGAGAGAGAAGAAGAGACTGGAGATGGACTGGAGTAGGCTAGACTGGAGCAATGAAGGGAACGTTTTGTGCGAGATTTAGAGAGGGAGGGAGAGGGAGGAAAGATGAGAGGGGAGAGAAAGGATGTTTTATTGCAGATGTAGGTTCAAAATACAGCAAATGTAGTTGTCACTCATATAGAGTCAGTCGCCAAACTCTACTTCACTAAGCCAGTTGTATATAATAGCTGATGTATGTATGTATATTTTCCTGGTGTGGGTGAGAGTGTTAGTTTAGGTTTGTTTATAGTGAAAATGAAACCAACTACAAGTATATACTGTAGTTCTACTTCAGAGTCTATCACATGAGTTCCGATCTTAAACTAATACGCACACTGCTTCCTTTTTATCTGATGTTCTACAATTGAAGGATACGAAAAGCAGAATCCATGGTCGTCACATGACACGTGTGCTACACAACCAAATTGTATCTGCATATCTTGTGTTTCTCTTTCCATACATCACGTTCCTCACAACTCTAGCCAATGTTTGTTCCTTGCTATCAACAGCAGTCGGCCACAGAATCCGGTACACTAGAAACCACTCGAAACTATACTCACGTCACTGAAACGTAAACAGCGTCTCCCAAATCAGTTTTGTGTCTGTCTTTTGGTTTCTAAACTCGTGAGTAGCAGTGAAGGCAGATGCTGTTCTTTTGGGAGTAGACATAGCCTTATATGGAATACTGAAAACACTCTCTTTTACTGTGTATGTTGTACAAGAAAGAGCCGTTCATGTAACTTCAGCTCTCACGACAATATTATACTATCAAAAATACTTCACAAATCCGACTAATGCCACGTGATAAAACATTTCATGAACATGGCTGCATTAAAAATACTTTTTAAGATCGGATAAATTTGTTGCAATTTGTTGCCACATGAACCGTGATTCAAAGGCCCATGCGAGAATTTGCGGGTTTTGAAACATGTATGTCTGTCTTAGACGTTTTGTCTAGGTCTTTACTAACACACACACTGTATCTCTCCCTCCCTCCTTCCCTCCCCTCTCTCTCTCTCTCTCTCTCTCCCCTCTCTCTCCTTCTCACAGCTCACAATCATCTGACGTGCCCCAAGTGTCGAGATGTCACGGTCCTCTCTGAACTGGGGGTGGACGCTCTCCCCATCAACTGGGACCTCATGGTGGGTGTGGCTTTACTATGTCGCGTGACCTCGTGGTGGGCGTGGTCCCGTAGTGGGCACTAATTGAACCTAGTTGGTGAATTCAATTGTGTGTTAATTATTCAATGTTTATAGCTTCTGTAGTGGTCTAAGAAGGTGTTACATATCTCTCTCATTCCTCCTTCCTTCCCACAGCAAGTGGTGGACATAATCGGAGAGGAGGCGGATGAGTCACTGTTGGATGCAAACTCTTTCACCTCCCATCATTCCAGTAGTCCGCTCACCTCTCTCCTCCCCATGGCTCACTGTGAGTATCTACATCTGTTAATCCTCTCAATAATTAAGGGACACCTTGGGGACATCAACAAGTCATTTATTCAGAGGTGGCCGTTTTTCTCATGTTATATATACCCTGCAAAAGAGTGGGGCAGAGTCATGTTGAGCTGTGGGGTCGTCTTTATGAGTTTTTGTGTGCCTTGTTCTATGATTAGCTAACCCTCTCAGTAGCTAGAGCCTTAGAACACACAGGATGATCTGATCTAGTGTGCAACACATTCATTGAAGACATGTACATGTTAAGTCGATCGAGCAATCTGACCTTTCAACTGCTGTACAATCATTATGTTCGCATTATGCCTAAGATTACGTCGCCAGATGGGCTGCTTCAAATTGGACAATGTATTAGTCCAAATTGACAATTACAGGAGGATTGCTAATGCACCAAATACCCATCTCTCTCTCTCTCTCTCCCTCCTCCCTCATTAGCTGACAACATGCCCATGTGCCGTGAGCACAATCGCCGACTGGACTATTTCTGTGAAAAGTGTGACGTGTTGGTCTGTGCCACATGTGCCATCAACACTCACGGAGGACACAAGGTAGACATGGATACATTTAGCAGGAACTTTTTTGTTAATCGGCAGTTACAAAATTTTGTGCTTTGATAAAAAAATTTTGGGTAAAATGGTGATTCAGTGTATACGTATTTCTGAGGGTAAATTAGTAAGATCATTTTCTTGCCCATTTTTGTATGTCGGGTTCTTTTGACACAAAACGTAACAGACAAAACTTTGACAGATGTTTCAAATATCACGACATATTCCCCCACTCTACAAGTGGTGCTACAATGTGTGTGTGCCGTCCATTTATCTAAGTTCTAGTCAGACTGAAACAAAACAAGTTATGGGCTCTCGTTTGTATGTAGCATGTTTGGTTTTTCAGAGAACATTGAAACTGTGGGACTTTAGTTTCGAAACGTGATGTCTCTATGTCATGGGTGAAAAACACTGCTTTGAGAGTGTGTTGCCACGCAAAGGGCTTGTTTGCTGGAGTTCTGTAAAAGCGGTACACAGATGACGTAAAATTTGGTTTCTCCTTCCTCCCCTCCCTACCCTTTTCCTAATCTTTCTCTCTTCTCTTTCTCTTCTCTCTCTCCTCTCCCCTCTCTCCCTCCTCCCCCCTCCCCCTCCTCCCCCCTCCCTCCTCTCTCGCCAGCCAAAAGAAGCTCAGAAGCTTACAACAGAGCTTCGCTCACAGTGCGTCGATCCTCTAGAGATCCGATACCTCCGGACAAACGTCGCGATCGACGAGAACACCCGGATCTACAACCAGGTCAGGAAACTCGGCGAGAGCCACAAACACCGCATCCAGACACTGTTTCAAGAGTTGCGCAATACCCTCAACTCGCGGGAACTGGCCCTCGTGCAGTCTCTGGAGGGAGTGATATCGAAGAAGTGCAGTGCACTCCACACCCAATGCATGCAGCTTCAGCAGCTGAGAGAGAAGTTGAACGCAGAGCGGGAGAGCGTGTCTCGTCTACTCCAGATCAAAGACCACGACTACACGGTCCTTCTGAAGAGAAAACAGATTGCCGCGGAGGTCGATGCCGTCGTGAACGAGGTCGACGGACTCGAACGAGACCCGGTCGAGAAACTGGAAGACGGGCCAGAGTGTGTCCTGCGCGAGGAGCTGCTTCAGGAGGCAAGCGGGTTTGGCGAGATTTACTGCACTCCGACCCCTGCAAAGTTCGTCGCGTCGGGACCCGGACTGGAGAAAGGTTTACAGGTCGGAAAGGAGGCGGAGTTTGTGGTTGAAGCTCACGATAAGTACGGTCAGCGGGCGTTCAAGGGAGGGAACAAGGTGGAGGTCAAGATTTTGGACCCCCAGGGGGCTGAGATTCCGGTTGCCATCGACAATGCCAAAAGGGGGAGGAGCCTGGTTCGGTACACGCCCAAGAAAGTTGGGTTCCACGTCGTCACGATTTTGGTCGACTCGCAGAGAATTTCAAACTATCAATGGAACGTCATGGTGTACGGTTACCGTGACTACTCGGTGATGACGAAGCCTCGGCTGTATCTGTCGCGTCAGCAGATCAGCGACATGTCAACGGTCAAGAGTGTGTGTGTGTTGCCTCTGTCAGGGTATCTGGCCTTCTCTGACCAACTCTGTATCAGGACGGTGAACCTGGAGGGGTTGAGGTAAGACAGAGAGAGACAGTTGTACATATGCTATTACGAAACCTAATTACATTCTTGCACTGGGCCCTATGTTTTACATGCACAGCTTGGCCTCTGTGCCAGACAAAACTATGGGTATGGTTGGTCCATGTTGCTTGCAGTAAGTCTATTTTCATGCACCGTTTTGTGAGTGCAAACAAACCCACTCTCTCATACACACTCTCACATCCATCCTTCTCTTCCTTCCCTCTCTCCCTCACCCTCTCTCCCTTATCCTCTCTCTCTCTCCTCTCTCTCCCTCCTCTCTCTCTTCCCCGCAGGCTGGTAAAGAGAGCCATCGGCCTGGCAGGGTCACCCAGTGGCCTGTTCAGTATGCCCATTGGAATCACAGCCAACAGCAAAGACGAACTCTTCATAGCTGACAGACAGGCTTGCAAGATAACCAAATTGGCTCCTGACGGCAGGGTCGTTGGATCGTACGGGAGGCAGGGAAGAGGCAGCGGGGGGTTGAGGCATCCAGAGTCCGTCGCCGTGACAACCGACAGACTGTTTGTGGTTGACACGGGCAACAACTGCATCCAGGTCAGTGGACATGGGGTTAATTTACATCTGAAACAATGTGCTAGTTTGGCAAATTTAGGTGAATAGTAGCTATTAGAGTTTTTGGCCAATCAACCTGTGAGTTACGTAGTTGGCTACACTTCTCTCTCGTTAGTAATTTGTTGTCTAATGTAATAAAAAGTGTGGGATTTAACAGGAATCTAGTCTGAGGTGCGGTCAACACCATTTTGTTGAAGAAATGTATAATTATACATAGATACAAGTTAAGTGGACAGAGCAATTTGACCTTTCAACTAATGTACAATCATAATGTTCGCATTATGCATTTGCCCAAGATTACATCACCAGATGGGCTTGCTTCAAATTGAATAATGTATTAAGTTTCTACTATCCTGGTGTGTTACAGGCGATGTCGTTGAAGAGTGGTAAATTCAAGGTCATTGGAGGTCGAGGTGTGCCCGACGGAATACAGCTAAGAGAACCCCAGGTTTGGAAGAGGGAGGGAGGGAGGGAGGGAGCATGTGCCATCAATTTCTTAGATACTACCATGACTCGATCAAGGACAGATTTTGATGACATCATAATGTTAACTTCCAACTTTCACAATACTATATACAGCTAGCTATAGAGTGCAGCTGAATGGACACTGAAAATGCGAATGGTTGTAGCAAGCATTTGAAACTTTCACTACAGTGCTTTGCATAAAGAGACAGAATTTTGGGATTTTAACATTTGGTCCCATTACTCGGCCATACTATATGCTGTGCACACGAGAAACATATCAAATGATCCGCAATCTTTTCTGATCCAAGTGATCAAATAATATTAAACCATGTGATCGTCCATGTGACACAAATGGCTGCCAAACAAAGTCTTTCAGAAAATCGGTTAGGCTGATTATTTCCACAAGCCTGGGAGTGTAAGACTTGAAACCTGGTTATGCACAATCTTCGCTCCAGTAGTTGTTTTTACTTCTGACTGTGCAAAACAATCCTGTCAAATTTCTTGACTCTTACGGAAGAAATGTATCATATTGTCAAACTCTACCTGTACACAGGGAGTGGCAGTCGATGAGGTCAGAGGTCGTCTCTACATCACCGACGCCGGCTACAACTGCCTCCTCTGCGTCTCCTTGGCAACCCTCGAGCCATCGCTGCCTTCGGGCAGGGCGGGGACAGTCCTCTAATCAGCCCCACGTCTCGTTGCCGTCGACCGTGACGGGTTTCTCCTAGTAACGTCGGCCAGGCACACCTCCTCTTTGTCGTGTCTCCGCAGGGTGCAAAGGTCAAGCAGCTGGGTGGCCGAGGGAATGCTGTTTAAATCTCCGAGCAGTGTCTGCGTGGATGGTCAGGGGAACGTTATAGTGGCCGATCCAGCATCCCCTGCATCCACATTCTTCTGAACACTCAACTCCACTATTTAGGGTCATACATATGTATACACTACATACATGTACACTGTCGTTCTCACTACAGGCAAACGCAGTTCTACCAAGAGGTAGTAATTGGCGTGTCGTTTAGCATGGGACAGTGTGGAAGTTTGTAATTTCTAGCACACTCTTGTTTGTTACGTGTTCATGTGCATGCATAGTGCCACTATTTGTATATATATGCAGGTCGTCATGTAATTGGAACTATGGGAGGAAAAACCCCTGGTTGGGGATTTCCCTCCTAACATCCTCACTGTTCCTTAGGTGTGGTCAACATTATGTCATGTATGTATTATATTATACACCATAATTATACCTTCCTTCCGCTCTTTATATCGCCCCCATTATGCACATCCATCAAATGATGCACCTTACGTCTTTGAAACTGTGTGTATACATGTGTGATTCAGCAATGTTGTGAGGTATCGTGTTTTCCCGATAATTTAGGAGTTAAACTACAATTTGACGTTAAAGGGAATGTAATTGTAAGGGCTAAATTTAGAAAATGTTACTAAAAAACGGAAACCTAATTGCATTCTTGCACAAACGAGTCACACAGGGATGCAGAGTTAGAGAGTGTAGAGCTCGTTAAAGAATTCCAGGATGAAGTCGTTGACGACCGCCTTGTCTGGTATCTTAGCAACCATGCCGTAGAGACCGCTGACCCAGTACGAGAGAGGGCGGGGTTTGCCTGGATTCAGAAGAGAGACGAGGGAGGAAGAGATGTGAAAGATGTGAAATCGTAAAAAAAGGCAAAACAATTGTGAAATTGTGAAAATTTCACCCTCTATTTTAATGAGCAGGGGAGAGAGAGAGAGCTAGAGGGTCCAGAGAGAGAGAGAGAGAGAGAGAGGGAGGGAGAGACGAGGACACCTTGACAGTGGTGACAGCCTCTCTGAGAGCAGAAAGCAGCTGCTGAGCTCTCTCGGGAGTGTGTGAGGGGAGGATGGGAAATGGAGACTATCCATCTGGCGCTCCCATTGGTCCAACCTTCGAGAGGCGAAGACAAATCACTACCGTTCAACACCTCTCAAACTAAAATGAGGACACCTCTTGAATTAGGACAGCCTTTTCTCCCAAGAAACAGTTCTGACGTGCCAAATTAAACCCTGAAAATAAGGAACCCTCGCTATTTAGGACACTTCCTTTGGGGCAGAGATGAGGGTTGTGTCGTGCTATGTGACGTACCGTTCTTTTCCATTACGTCGGCAACGGCAAAGATAGACACCTGACTGTCACATGACGTTACAGAGAATGCCGTCATTACCGGCGACCCACACACCTTCAAACCTGGACGAAAAACAGAAAAACGTAAGATCTGGAGAGATGAGACAGCCAATCTCACAGGAATGGCTGCAATGCCCTGTTGAGTGCAAAAGTCACATCCATCAACTTCCGCGCCATTCTGTGTAGCCGTCAACACCCATGGCTTGTAGGATTGCCCACGAGGCTGCTATGATCCCTCCTGGAGGGGGGCAGGGGGCAGGGGGTTGAGAGTAACAGGGTACATGTTGGCCCACATGCACTTGTTGTGGAGCACTGTGAAAGGACAAACTTTGTACGTGAATTTGGAGGTTGAGAGTTACGAAAGTCCTTCACGCTCCATTTGCCTCCAATTTCACATATATTATTTCTCAACTGAAAGTTTCCACTGAGAGACATTTACAGGGACGTAAAGTTAAATTTTAGCAGCGTCCTTATTTAAGAGGCGTATACATAAATGAGATGATAAGCTAGACATTTCTGGAACTTCTCATTCTCGTGTAATGAAAACTTTGTTTCTACACGGGAAATCAAAAACCTCGTTATATGGGCCAATCAGATTTCCTCAAGTTAAACACGCTAATGCACTATTGGTAATGTTTGTACTGGTCTACTGCAGCCATGTCTGGTGACCCAAAGAGCCCACCAGGCCACTGCGGCATAGGCAAAGTATCTGATAATCCATCCTCTTGAGTCTCGTCCGGTACAGTACCACCTCACGCCCCTGCGGAACGGAACAGAGACGTGACAAGGTGACTTGGAACGCGACTGACTCTGCCGCTAGTACTGCCTTGATTCGAGACCGTACTTGTGTATGTCTGCTGACATGGAGGTTACGGCAACCGAAAGTCAACTCCAGGCAACGATAGCCAAGTTTTTTCGGTGCTCGACCTGGCGAAACATTACGTAATTTGTACATAACACAGAGCTGTAGGTAGATATTCTAAGTAAACATGACTCGTGTTTTTTGTGTTGTTTGCAATTACACACAACAAACTAGTGTAGCCTACCAATATGGATAGAAAGAAGCCAAAAGAACTGACAGCCCTGACTAATTGCATTTCCGGGCAATGTGCTATCTTTCATGTCTAGTATGACAGAATTTCCTGCTCAGTGTTGACATGATGTGCGCAGTGTTCACAAGTCTCTCTATTACCATCGTATCTATAGTGTATAGCATGTAAACAGCAACAGGTCACAAGCCAGGCAGCTAACATGAGTGACGTCCACGTGTTTCCTACTGGCAGCAGCATGTGCACAGAATGAAAATGCACGCGCATTCTGACACCGAAATTTTTTACTTCCTCATGCCTATTATAGCGCCCTAGCCCCATGTCTCAGAGGATTTCCGCTGTCGTGCCAATGCTCATCATTCCACACAGAATTTGAGGAATGTAAACTGTTATGAGTTCCTGTGCATGCCGTGCTTGCGATGAATAGAATGGGTAATCGTTAGACTCAAAATTATCAGTTGTTAGCTTTCTCTCTGTTTCGCGTGTGTTTTTTGCTCTCTACTCACTACCACACATGAGCAAGCCAGGTGGGCCAGAGTTGTCCAATCATAGGGCTCGCATGGCTTCAGCACATGTCTGTGTTATGAACGTGACTAAGAAGAGAAACAACTTATCCTCCCTGAGATACGCGTAAAATAAAGAACACACCATGATCCCTGCGCGCGGTCGGTCTCTCTCCGCATTCTTCTCCTAATAATGTCTTCTCTACCAAGCGAGCATGAATCCAGCGTCCAAGCAGCGTCGCGACGTGCAGTGGGATGTTTGTTATGTCGGATGGCTGTTAGTCCGGAGATGGTGTGTACTGGATCCACCATTGCTCAGCAGTAAGCTCTGGAGCTGAGCACAGCAAGAGAATGGTTGTTGGTTGATATTGCCGTGTGGGAGTGGTGTAGAAGTACCCTATTTCAGAACTGAGACATCCAGTGGTGAACCGCTCGTAATAACGAGCACACGTAGAGAGAATCTGAATGTGCGTGCCTTTATTCAGAGGTGTCCTTGTATAGACCTGAGTGTCCCTATATAATAGTATGGGCTGAACCAAGTGTCCTTTATAGAGTCAGAGGTGTGCTTTTTCTTTTATTCAGGAGTGGTCTTGGTTGGTTTCAGTAGACGCTCGCTGAGTACAAACTAGACGGGCAGACGTAAACCTTCTCGTCAGGCTGGACCATATTGGGAGTCAGAGGTCAGGTGGTTTCGAGGGGGACGTGTACCACGTCACGTTGAAGTAGCTGCGGCTTTCTTCTCTGCATGCCGGGTACGGATGGTCTGTGGTGCTACCTGCAGTCATGAGGTCAGAATGAGAGAAGAGAGATATAAGGGTTAAGAAGAAACCTACATTATTTGCACTGCACTCTCCAGATATAGTCAAGGTATTCAGGATGGTTTGTTGGTCTGTCCTTCCCCCCACTTGCTTGCTAAAGTACGAAATGTTTAGGCCACCCCTATTACTTCCCACTGCACTCTCCAGCTATAGTCAAGGTATTCAGGATGGTTTGTTGGTCTGTCCTTCCTCCCCCACTTGCTTGCTAAAAGTCAAAGTTTAGGGCCACCCTATTCTTCCACTGCACTCTCCAGCTATAGTCAAGGTATTCAGGATGGTTTGTTGGTCTGTCCTTCCCCCCACTTCCCTGCTAAAGTACAGTTTTAGGCCACCCTATTACTTCCACTGCACTCTCCAGCTGTAGTCAAGGTATATCGGTGGTTGGTTGGCCTGTCCTTCCCCCCCACTTGCTGCTAAAAGTACAAGTTTAGGCCACCCTATTACTTCCACTGCACTCTCCAGCTATAGTCAAGGTATTCAGGTGGTTGTTGGTCTGTCCTCCCCCCACTTGCGCGTGCTAACAGTACGAAATATTGTAGTGCCACCCTAGCTTTGCAATGTCACCAGCCATTCGATTATCAAGGCATGGTCTTTCGAGAAGATTCTTAGAAAGAATTCCTTGAAGAGTATGTATTAGGTGTCGCAAAATGTTTTCCACGTATCACGTTGGTATCTATGAGATGTTAGACTCCACGGTTATGACTGTGGGGTTTTGAAATGTAGTGAAGTGTGTTCTGTAAGCGATCATCAGTCAATCATACATCGTCGGCTGAGTGATGTGTCGGACGATAGTTCGCCGGGCCCTTCCCTGTAGGTCTTGACTGCCATCAGAATACTCTCAGTCCCCAGCCTGACTGTCGCCTACGCTACCCACTACCGCTCTCGTTGCCGTGCAACATCACGATGCCCCGCTGCCATGGCAACGTCTCGGGGCGTGCTCGTAAGCGAGCGACGGCTTGTGGTAACACCGTGGGGGTTGAGGGCGAATTCTCGCTGGAGAGGGCGGGGTAAAACATGTCGAACAGCAGCGCGCTGAGTGAAAATCATAACAATCATCAGTTGTGTTTGAAACAATGTGTGTTAGCGAGTCTCGTTTTAATTTGTTGTTAATGCTCTTCTATGCTGTGGGTCCCGTCCCCCTAACCCACGTCTTCTCTCCCCTTCCGTGTCTTCTCCTCCTCTCCCTCCTGCTCCTGTCACTCCCTACTCTTCTCCCCTTCCTTCTTCTCTTCATCTCTCTCCTCCTGCCCCTCTCCTGTCACTCGCCATCCCGCCTCTTCTCCACCTTCCTTCTTCTCCCTCCCGTCTCCTCCCTGGGCTCAGGCTCTCGCGTCCTTTCATTCCTCTCCAGTCTTGCTTCGTCCGTGCACTACTATGGTCTCCAATCAAACGCTGTCCAATGCCGTTTCCTTCCACGGCGTCGAACTCTTCCCCTTCCCTGTGTCCACGTATGCGTACAAATCTCTCTCCCTGCATGAGGGTCGGTCTCAACTCTCTTCCTCTTTTTCAGCTCCTGAATCAGTTCTTCTTTACTCAACCCTGCAAATCAATCACAGGACGTTGTAATTACTGTATAACTAGAAATATTGGTAGCCATTGAATCTGGTGTTGCTGCGTAACCAAAAGACTGTTCATTGATAATTGCACACACAAAATATGCACACATGGTATCAATGTGGATTGTCGCAGTCTCCAGGTCTGGTACGCATACTGATGTACGGAAATTGCTTGAAATGGACGTGAACTCCGAAATAAGAGGCTCTTTGTTGTTGTGCATTCGCATATGCGAGCCCCGCCCACTTTAGCTATCGCGACGGTCACATGCGCTGTGCATGCACAGGTCACCTTTCTCGGGGAGCTGCATCGTCTTCTTCTCTCGTCCTCCCTCTCTCTCCCCGCCGCGGCCTTTCTCCTTCTCCAGCTGTCTCAGGAATCGGCGGACCTCTCCCCGCACCAACCCCCTGATCAGAGATTGCACGCCTGGCACCAGTCTCAGCAACGTAAGGGAGCGGCGCGCGAGGCCGGCCAGCCCTTCACGCGCAGCAACACATACAGCAAGAAGCAGCGCTAGAGCAAAAACGGCGTCTTTTACCCACGAAAGAAGAAACCAAGGCATTTCTTTACTGTATGTATATACTGCACTAGCTGTGCACACTTACTTCTAGGTAACTGCGCATGCGTATTGGAGGACGTAAATTTAGCGCGCCGCGCCGCGCGCGTATAGAGGTGGGCACCAATTAGAATAATATTTGCTGGAGCTGTCAGCTTTCTTTTACTCTGGCGGCTAGTGATGGGTCTCCGTGTGTACCGCAGTAGTTTATGGAGGATCCTGTGCCTCCTGTTGGTGGTATTCGGAGTGGTGGTCCCGTGTCTTCTGCTAGTGGTGACAGTGAACGTGGACTCAACCCGATCAAACTACTACACGGACCAGTCCCTTCACCCGTTCAGCACGCACGAGCGAAAGCCGCTGGACTACCCCGACCTGCGGGAAGCCAGCGAACTCCGACAACAGATCAGGGAGCTGGAAGACATTCGCTCCTCGGTGCGAGACGAGCTGCGAGTGTTCGAGCAGCAGCGATCGAAACTGAGCGCAGATATCGAGTCGCACAAGGAGAGCCTCGCCCGCGTCAAGAAGGAGCTCACTGCCGCTAAGATGGATCTCCAGGACAAGCGGGGGCAGTTGTCAAAGGTGAATAGGGATTTCTACGACAAGGTCGACCCGATTACCCAGACAGCGGCGAGCATGGCGCCTATCATCGTCCTACCTGCGGAGAACAAAATGTCAAGTATCTCAGATCTCGCCCAGCCTCGCGGAGTCACTGCGGATCGACGCCCCAGTCTCTCGCTGTACCCTTGACCTCTGTTTCAACCTAGCCAGGTGTCCACTCACTCGTCCGTTTTCCGTGTTTGTCTACAACGATGCAAACCCTCACCTCTTCCCCGTTTCATCTCGCCACGGTAACGTCGTGACTGATTTCGTAACAGACTTGAAACGAACAGGTTCTTTCACCTCCGACCCCACCGCTGCGTGCGTGTTTGTGGCCATCCTTGAAAACCGAGCCAGCTCCGGGGAAGACATGCCGCGAGATCTCCAGACCAAGATACTATCTCTGGCCCACTGGGGTGGCGAGGGTGCTAATCACGTTCTGATCGAACTATCCACCAGTAGAGATACCACGAGCTCGCTGGATGCAGTATCGACCGGGCGTGCGATTATTTCTCGTAGTATCGTCTCCCCGGTCAAACCGTTTCGATCCGGATTCGACGTCCTTCTCCCTCCTCTACCGACTTCGGAAGTGACGTGGCGAGACCTGCCCCCTCTCCTCCCGGTGTCGAGAGAGAACCTAATCTATTTCCACGGTGAGTACGCCCCTCCTCGTCACCCCAGTCCCAGCTCCCTGGCCCCTGCGGACGTCAAGAGTCTCCAGCAGGCACTGGACGGGAGGGAGAAGATTGATATCGAGCTGCGTGCCCTGAAACGGTCGCAGGGGTGACTGAGGGCGAGTGGATGCTGTGCGGAGGGCAGAGTTCGCGACTGGAGCTGTGTTCCCATTCAACGTTTTCCCTCGTTCCAAGCACAGTGAGCCTGGGACACAGGCTGAGCGTGCGCGGCTCTATACCAGCACTAATAGAGTCCATCATCTGTGGGCTCCATTCGTCGTACCTATTGGATATCGGGGCGGCGCTCCCGTTCGACGAGGGTATTGACTTGGCGTCTGGCAGCGATGTCTCCATTCGCCTGCCAGCGGATTTTCAGAAATTCGACTACATTCTGGCGCAGCGTGATGCAGACGATATACAAATTTCTCGTGACGCACGGCAGAAGAATCTCTGGCACACTACTCAGCTCTCCTCGCCATCACTGTCAGACTACCAGTTGCTATGGTGAGATCCCGAACGCTCACACACCCTCGCTTCCGATTCGTAGGCCTTTCTCTGCTGTCGAAATCGACGATGCGTAACAAGCGGACTCCCTCCCCTCTCCTCACACACAATTTCACAACGTACTCTTGGGATTTCTGGAACGAGCCTCCGGGTCCCTTCATTTCCTACCCCTCCACCCCCTTCAAACGCGGCCCCCTCTCTGGATACCGGTTTAGCGATTTGGACGAGAGAGGGATCGAGCGTCTCCCGCTACACATTGTCGATGCAGGCGGAATAACGGGACCCAATTTCGAAGACTTATTACTAGGGAATTCCCCCGAGGAGCAGTTCACCGTGGTTATGTTGACGTACCAGAGGAACAAGGTGCTGATGGAGGCACTGGGGAGACTGGATGATGTGGCGTTTCTCAATAAGGTAGTGGTTGTGTGGAACAACCCAGAAACTCCACCGGGTGATTTGGAATGGCCCGACATCGGAGTGCCCAATGAGGTGAGGTGTATTTCCAGTGTGTTAGGTTTGCCAAGAGTACTTAGTATTATAGGGATCAGGATCCAGCATTATACCCATACATTTGAGATTTACACGTTTCACTTTCATATAATCGCAAAATTAAAGTAAAGTTGTCTCTTTTGACGTGCTTGAAAATGAGCAGTACGTCAAACAGCAAGTAGCAGTGAGCATTTCTCAAGCATGAAAACTTGTATGCAGTTCAAAGGTATTCCCGATCCATACACCTGCCTATCCTGTACTTAGTGAAAGGTGCATTTGGTAATGTACAGATAGGGAGGAAAGCGAGCTGACCTAGTCATCTGGACTGTGGAATGCAGTGACACTCTGGACAATGCACAATGACTGAGCACGAAATCACACGCACGAGTTGCACGGTAGAGGTTCACTTTCGATGCCCAAAGGTGTCGGTTATTCAGAGCATTTCCACCGTTCTTTTCTTCTAGTCCATCCACACGCTACATTTATTGTACTGTAATCCATTCTCTCTCTCTCTCCCTCTCTCTCCTCTCTCTCTCTCTCTCTCCTCTCTCTCTCTCTCCTTCTCCTTCAGGTTGTTCGTGGCAAAGGCAACAGTCTCAACAATAGATTTCTGCCATTCAAAGAAATAGAGACTGAGGCTGTCTTGTCTATCGATGACGATGTGCATCTCCGACCAGATGAGATACAATTTGCCTTCAGGTGAGGGGGAGAACCTCTATCGTTAGTATAATTACAGAGAACTAATCCACACTCCATGTGGGATCGATAATACACATAAAGGTGGGGGAAACACAAAGTTTTGGTGATATATAAGGGAAGGTATTAAGCGAGATAGTAGCGGTGAAAGACGAAAATTATGGAGAGAAATAGGGGGAAAGACAAGAGTTTGGAGCTAGATAAAGAGAACATGAAGTAGGGTTAGGAACTCATATTCCACAACATGTGGTACAATTACCTCTACTTATTACCCTCGGCGCGCATGCGCAGCGAGGGTACAGTAGTTGGGTCTGTCTGTCCGTCTGTTTGTCTGTTTGTCTGTTAGTCTACATCTCACTCCTCGAACGTCTGTTCGTCCCAGAAACGATACCCTCTACCCAACGGGCGACGAAGGTCAGAAAATAAAGACGGTTTTCTCTGAAAATGCTCCGTTGCAAAGCTAGAGCACGAAAAAGCCAATATGCAAATACGCAACGGACGGGATGGGCCTGATCGATCAGCGTGCTCTGCGACCTCGGAGGCACCAGAAGATGCATCGCCTCTCGCATGCTATCTAGTAGTGTAGTTAGCCCGCGTCAGACTCTGCGCGAGATGGCTAGAGACCAGGAGTAACAGCCAGAACTAAACCCAGCCCATCAATTAGTGATACAGCGCATGCGTTTACTCACGCGTGCGCGTCACAATGCGCCGAGGGTTTGCACTTCAGTGCTTTTCATTTCCTCCTTAACTAACGTCTGTCCCTAGTAATTGGCTCTAATTGGCTCTGTGAAATATCTCTGTTGGTGCAGAGTATGGCGTGAAGCTAGGGACAGGATCGTGGGGTTCCCAGGTCGTTTCCATGCCTACGACCTCAAACACGAGACCTGGTTGTACAACTCTAACTATACGTGTGAGCTGTCAATGGTTCTGACAGGAGCTGCCTTCTTCCACAAGGTACACATGCATGTTGTATACTACTAGAGGAATGCAATGCATTGTTGACGATGAGCGCTAGTGACCCACCCCTCTCTGTCTCCCTCTCATCGAGCAGTTCAATATTTTCACACGCATCTCTCTCCCTCTCATCTCCCCATCCCCTCTCTGTCTCCCTCAGATCTATTCCTACCTGTACTCTAGCTGGATGCCTCAGGAGGTGAGGGACATGGTGGACCAGTACATGAACTGCGAAGACATTGCCATGAATTTTCTCGTCTCACACGTCACCAGGAAACCTCCCCTCAAGGTACGCCTCATTGTGTATATATACATGAACTTGTGCAGTGCAACTTTGGCACAGTTTGTTAATTTTGTTTAGTTTATTCACTGGTAACATAATTGAGTTCCAGCACACGTAAGATTTTAACACACTGCTTGTGAAACCTCTGATTAAGGGACACTTTAGGGAACATTGTTTCCTTTAGACATCCTCGTCACCTTATGCTTTGTAACATTTTTATCCGACTAGATAGTAGATACTTTTCTTCTATACCTCTTTCTATTATTTGGATGTTGTCTTTATTATGAACCAAGTTCAGAGTGTCCATTTTAGAGGTTTAACTGTAATCAAGACATGTTCTTCTATTTGATGTGTGTGCAACCTTGTGTCCTTGTATGTTAATGTGATTTCTCCAGGTGACATCTCGTTGGACATTCCGTTGCCCCGGTTGCCCGGATACGCTCTCCACGGACGACACTCATTTCCAGGAACGTCACGTGTGCATGAAGCAGCTCACCGGTATCTATGGTTACATGCCCCTCCTCTACACACAGTTCAGAGTCGACTCGGTGCTTTTCAAGACCCGTCTCCCTAGCAACCTTCAAAAATGCTATCAATTCATCTAGAATAAATATTTTATATTTTTTCAGTTTGGCTGTTGTTTGTCTTATGTGTGTGTGTTATGTTTTCATGTATTTTTGTAAAAGATTCATGCTCTATGAAGTAAAATTTCATGATGTGAAAGTAAGCGGAGGAATCCGGAGAGTTTGACGGAGATGTGTGACCTCTTGTCGCGAGGTCAAGGTTTGCGAGTATAGTGCGAGCCCGCGCGAGGACCAAAGTTAGACAAAGAAGGTGAGATCAAGATGAGACGGAGGAGATCTTCGGCGCTGAAGGTCGTGCGAGAACTGGACGCCTTCCCCAAAGTAGAGGATGACTGCGCCAAACCCACAAGCCGCGGAGGAACTCTCTCTCTCCTCTCCCTCTCCATCATCTCCCTACTGGTGGTGTCAGAATTCTTCTACTACCGCGGGACGGAGACTAGCTACAAGTACTCCGTCGACACCGACATGGAGGCCCAACTGCTCGTCACGATAGACATGACGGTAGCCATGGCGTGCAGACATCTTGGGGCCGACCTCATAGACCACGCGGGCGAGAGCATGCAACTGCACGACGTGATAAAAATGGATCCGGTCAGTTTCCAACTGAGCGAGCTGCAGGCGAGTGTACTACGAGCGAAGCAGCGTCTGCAGGAGCAGTACAACCACGCCAAGGCCCTGGGAGATTTGACAGTGATTGAAGGTATACGAGACATCAAGATGCCTCAGGGAGTGGAAGAAGGAGGAGATGGACAGGCATGCAGACTCCACGGGGCTTTCCCCGTGAAGAAGGTGGCTGGGAACTTCCACATTACGACCGGTCGCTCGATCCCTCACCCTCAGGGCCACGCCCACTTGACGATGAACGTTCCTCACGGCGCTGTAAACTATTCTCACAGAATCGACCAGCTGGCGTTCGGCCCGCCCATTCCTGGTGTTCTGAATCCCCTTGACGCCGCCCACAAACTAGTGGAAGATCGCAACCACCAATTCCAGTACTACCTACAGGTGAGAGCTCATACAGTGGATCCTCTGAACAAGTGACACTTTGAAGACATCAAAAGTTCCTTTATTCAGAGGTGTTCCTTATGTATGGGGCATGCATCAAGCAAGCACAAGTGCAAAGGTTTCTGTTTTGAGAAGTTATGGTAAAGAGAGTGCCTTGTTCACTATTGCGCAATTCAAATAACCATGTGGGCTGACTTTGCTTCCCAATCCAACCCATTGCACCTCATTTGAAGAAATATTCTTCACTTGTTTATTCTTGCTCTGCAGGTAGTGCCAACGAAGTTTCGAACACTCCACAACTACCTGACTACCAACCAGTACTCTGTGAGAGAGAGGAACAGAACCATCGACCACAGGCAAGGCAGCCACGGAATGGCCGGGATATTCTTCAAGTACGACATGAGTCCACTCATGGTCGAGGTCCAGGAGACTCGAAGACCACTCTGGCAGTTTCTGATACGACTGTGCGGAATTGTGGGCGGGATTTTCGCCACCTCGGGCATGCTCAATTCATTTGTAGGGTCTCTGACTGATGGAGTACTCAGCTGCCTTCTTAGGGGGAAAGGTCAGAGTTCGTCGACATCGGATTAGTGTTGTAGTAATAAAATAGCCGATGTTTTTCAATTTTCATGATATTATATATGATGTACAATTTTCTCCTCCTACTATTGGTCAGGCAACATGCAACACACTCAAGAGTTGGTGACGCAAGTAGATACGTAACGTTCACTGGATTACGCTACGCGAGCGTGCGTAAAACGAAGGGGGCGTAACCTGGACAAGCAAGTGTTCACTCAAAAAATGGCTCAGCAGCTACGACTCCAAGGCCGCTTTGGCTTC